GAACGTCCTTTAAGCGCATTTTTGCCACATACTACTTAATTACTTTTATCTGTTGTTTTTTTTTATTTGCACGACAATATAGTGCATTTCACGAAAGTTAATACACTTTATATAGATAAAATACAAATCGATGGTCCAGAAAAACGACAATGTCACGCGGAAATCTTCTGGACATATCGGTAGGGGTAGGGGTTTAACAATCAAAATATGCAAAGAAGAACCCCCTAAGTTGTACAAAATAATACGAAGCGAAATCGGACACAGTGTCTTTGCACTATGCTTCAGAATATGGAGCTTTTTTCGAAAATTTATACATTTTATATAGATAAAGAACAACTCGCAGTTCCAGAAAAACGACCATGCCACGCGGAAATCTCCTTGAAATATTCCTTAGGGTAGGGCTTTGACAATCATTATGTACAAAAAGACCCTTAAAGTTGTACAAAATGAAATTCGCAACGAAATCGGATAAATGATGTCTTTACATTATAATGGAGAATATGGAGCTTTGTACGAAATTTTATACAATTTACATAGAGAAAGGACAAATAGTCGTTAACAAAACTGACCATGCCATGCGGAAATTTCCTCGACGAAAATCTCGGGCTAGGGCTTTAACAATCATTTTGTGCAAAGATCATCCTCAATAGTTATGAATAACAACCATGCCACGCGGAAATATCAAGGACATAGTGCTGGGGCTAAAACTTTGTGCTTCATGTTGTGTTAAGAAGACATCCCAAACTTGTATTAACACCATTTTTAATGGAATCAATCAAAAGATGTTTTTAAAGTATTCTCTTGAAAATGATGGTTTGTTTTCAAAAAAATATACACTTGCAGGTCCAGACAAACGAAACAAACATGCCACTTGGAAATTTTCTGGACATATTGCTTGGGATAGGGCTTTGACAATCATAATGAGCAAAGAAGACTCGCCAAAGTTCTACTAATTCGAATCTGCAGCGAAATCGGACAAATGGTGTCTTTGCAGTATGCTCAAGAATACAGTGTTTTTTTTCGAATATTTATACATTTATGTCGAGAATATGGAGCTATGAACGAAAATTTAAACACTTTACACTAGGGTTTTGACAATCAAAATCTGCAAAGAAACTCTCTAAAATTGTACCAAATCGATCCCGCAACGAAATCGGACAAACGGTTTAAAAAAGGTTCTGTCTAGAAAAGTGGTCGTTTAATCGAATTTCTTAGGAATTTAATACTTTAACAATCATTTGTCAAACAAATAATCATGGGTCCAAAAAGCAACTATATTCTGTAGGCCACTTGCTAATATTTTTCTTGCCGCTTACATTGCTGTGAAGAATATCCTCTAAACTAATACAACTACTGAATCATAACATGTTTTTGTTTGTTTTGTTTGAGTTTATTTGTCACACAAAACTTACTTTTTGGGGGTTCTTATGGAAATAACACCAACTATTATAGCCTCAGGGAGCACATTCAAAGTGGTACTTTTTTGAAAATTTATACATTTATACAGAAAGAAAAAATCGTCAGGTCAGAAAACGACCATGGCGTGCGAAATATCCTGGTCAAATGTTTGGGTAAGGACTTTGGCTTCATATTTCTTGGGTAAGAAACTTGTATAAAATCGAATTTGCATTGGAATCAGACCAATGGTGTCTAAACCGTTGGCTCAGGAACATGGTATTTTTTTATACAATTTATATAGAGAGAATAAATCACAAAAACCAAAAACGACCATGCCACGCGGAAATTTCAGGGAACAGAGTCAAGCTGACACAACCCACAATGATATGCGTTTTTGGGATCCACATGGCAATAATACTGGCAGTTATAGCCTCAGGGAACACAGGCAAGCTGAAAAACCAAGGTGATTTGCCTTTTTGGGGTCCTTATGGAAATAACACCGGCAGTTATAGCCCAAGAGAACACATTAAAACTGTCAAAACCCACGATGATAGGCCTTTTTTTGGTGTTCTTATGGCAATAACACCGGCATTTATAGCCTCAGGGAACACAGTCAAGCTAACACAAACCACGCTGATAGGCCTTTTTGTGGATCCATATGGCAATAACACCGGCAGTTATAGTCTCAGGGAACACAGTCAAGCTCACACAAACAACGGCGATACTCCTTTTTTTTGGGTCCTTATGAAAATAACACCGACAGTTATAGCCTCATGGAACACAGTCTAAATGGTACTAAATGGAAAATGTACGAGTAAACATGGACATATTTCTTAGGTTAGAGCTTCTGGCTTCATATTGTGCAAAGAAGACACACCAAGCTTGTATAAAAACGAATTCGCATTGGAATCAAACCAATGGTGTTTAAACGGTTTGCTCGTGGAAATTGTTATTTCTATACAATTTATATAGAGAAATAACAGATCGCCTGAACAAAAAACGGCAATGCCATGCGGAAATCTCTAGGACATATTCCTTGAGTTAGGGTTTTTGGCTTTATATTGTGGAAAGAACACCCTCCAAAGTTGTACAAAATCGAATCTGTATTGAAATCATACCAATGGTGTATAAACAGTTGGAAAATAGTTTTTTGTACAATTTATATAAAGAAAGAACAAATCGTCGGAACAAGAAACGGCCATGGGATGCGGAAAACTCTTGGACACATTTCTAGGGTTAAGGCTTTTGGCTTCATATTATGCATAGAACAGCCTCCAAACTTGTACAAAATCGAATCTGCATTGGAATCAGACCAACGGTGTTTAAGGGTTCACTCAGAAAAATGGTGGTTTTTATACAATTTATATAGTGAGTTTTTTTAATCGCCGGAACAAAAAAACGGCCATGCCATGCGAAAATCTCTAGGACATATTCCTTGGGTTAGGGCTATGGGCTTTATATTGTAGGAAGAACACCCTCCAAACTTGTACAAAATTGAATCCACATTGGAATTAGACAAATGGTGTTTACGGTTGGCTATGGAATGTGGTGTATTTTTGAAAATTTATATAAAAAAGAACAAATTTCCGGTCCAAAAAATGACCTTGCGATGCGCAAATCACCTAGACATATTTCTTGGGCTTTGGCTCTTGGCTAATAAAAAATAAAATTCAATTATATTGTTTTGTATTAATTTTGTTATACACATGAATTAATGTTTTAACTGAATCATTCTGTTTTTATTTGACTTGGTTTTTATTTCTGTTTTAACGTCACGTTTCTTGTATCTTATAGTTTGTGAGGACGTTGCGTCATTTGTTTTTTTATAAACAGCATTTTCTTTTATAAAAGACTATGGTTAAAAGCTTAGAAAAAGGTTGACCTGATAATATATATATTGGAAAATACTGCAACATTCGTAATAATTATTTCAAATGTGTATAAATCCTCAGTTTGTCGAGAATATATTCAGTTTGCAGGTCAACTCCCCTGATCAGTTTTACGTAATTATTTCAATACAGTGAGACCAGATAACAGAATCAATAACTTAAATTGGGCCTATTTCTACCCTACTGTAAAGTATTTGTCCGATTTATTTTATTGATTTTTTTGGGGCAAAATTTGAAAATCGACTTTTTTCCCCGATACCCATAGCAGTTTTGGTAGGATAGGTAAACAAGTAATCTATTTCTTATTGAACATACTATTTATATCTGAGTTATATAAATTTCAAGCAAAAGAAATTCTAAATGCGTAGGAATCATTTCATGTTTAAGATACATAATAATTATTCCTTTCATAATTCATCTCAGGTTTCGTTTAATTCCTTTCATAATTCATCTTAGGTTGCGTTTAATTCCTTTCAAAATTCATCTTAGGTTGCGTTTAATTCCTTTCATAATTCATTTCAGGTTGCGTTTTATTCCTTTCATAATTCATCTCAGGTTTCTTTTAATTCCTTTCATAATTCATTTCAGGTTGCGTTAAATTCCTTTCATAATTCATCTTAGGTTGCGTTTAATTCCTTTCATAATTCATTTCAGGTTGCGTTTAATTCCTTTCATAATTCATTTCAGGCTGCGTTTAAGTCCTTTCATAATTCATTTCAGGTTGCGTTTAATTCCTTTCATAACTCATTTCAGGTTGCGTTTTATTCCTTTCATAATTCATCTCAGGTTTCGTTTAATTCCTTTCATAATTCATTTCAGGTTGCGTTTAATTCCTTTCATAATTCATCTTAGGTTGCGTTTAATTCATTTCATAATTAATTTCAGGTTGCGTTTAATTCCTTTCATAATTCATTTCAGGTTGCGTTTAATTCCTTTCATAATTCCTTTCAGGTTGCGTTTAATTCCTTTCATAATTCATCTTAGGTTGCGTTTAATTCCTTTCATTATTCATTTCAGGTTGCGTTTAAAATTCGCTATGTAGAGACATGGAACAAACACCAAGCTGGAATTTTTCATTGATAGGCTCCGTTTTTATATGAAGCCATAATTTATCAATAATAAATCATTTGATTCAAACGTAACCGCTGTCGATCAGGAGTTTTATCACACACCCGTGCCGATTTTGCGACTCCGTAAATATGGTATTGCACGGCCGTGCATATATTTTGACGTGACGTCATAAGCGTTATACAAACATAGTGTAAAGACGCGCTAAATGTTAGCGTTATACTATAGGCGTGTTAATGAAAAAAACTCTTATTTCACTTTAAACAGTCTTTATTTTTGGTATGTGATAAATAGAATATTAAATTCGTGTAAGTTCATTACTGAATTTATTGCACTCGTTGAATAAAATAATATTATGCTCGCCAGAGGCTCGCATAATATAATTTTATTCAACTCGTGCAATAAATTTAGTATTGAACTTACACTCATTCAATATCCTCTATTTATGACACGCTACGCTTCTGCGTTTAACAGTGTTATTCAAATGTTTGTCGTATTCGTATTAACCTTATAATTCAGAGGATATATATTGGACCCTCGGGGTCGAACAAAAACAAATAACGTCACGCTTTCTGCAGTGAGTTTACACAAAACATGAAATAGCTGTGGTGATAGTAAAGAAAGGTGAACATAGTTATTTTTAGCATCTAGTCATTATTGCCATTACATGTGTTAAACAGAATTATGCGATTAGGATGATTATGTTGTAACTTTGGTACGCATACAGGTTTGCAAAATATTATTTTCCTTTCATTTCAGTGACTTAGTTTTAAATGCATTTTTAATAGTGTAGATATATATGCATTTTAATAGTGTATGTTATGATATAGGAAGATAGGATTTTCTTTTGTATTAAGTGGTCTTTTTTGGATCCTTGAATTAACCAGACTTCACAACATCCGTACGTGAACGTACGACTTTAAATACAAATGGGCAAAAATTGAAATAAAGAACGAGCATTGAAATGATAAATAAGAATTGAAACAATCTGCGTTCGACTCTCATTGACGTGTGTACAATGTGCTTGATTGCATTGAAAAGTCAAAAGTACGATGGTAAAAAGCCGAAATAACGAAACCAAGATGATGAAAGGTCGAAAGTACGATGGCTTTCTACTATCGTAAATTGTGTTTTCGTTGTATCGAGTTTTGTGTGTCGTGATGACCCTAAAATCACATATTAGAAATGGCACACTGCGACTGTATTGTTAAAAGCAGTTGAATGTTCGTTCATAAGGTTAAAAGGTTAAACAACGGACAGCGGACGTATCTAAAAATAATACCTACTTTGTGTATGTCATCCGAGTGTTTTACATTTCTATGGAGGCTGATAAACGCCATGCCGAATTTTCGCTTTATGCCATACCGCATATTCGCTTTTATTCCGCCACAAAATTCGAAAAATGAAGGGATTAACAGTAAAATTGTTTGTGGTTTCCGCATGTATACATGTTTTGGGTCGAAAATCCGAAAGGATGGCAAAATACGAGTACGTGCGAACATACGTCACAGAATTTATTCTTCTTTTTCGCTTACGATATGTCGTATATTATTTTTTACGCGGCAAAAAAATAAAAAAAATAAAAAAAATAAAAAAAAAATAAAACTGTCTTGGTGCGACGTGAAATCTAACCTAAACATTTAAGTCGGCAACCGTAACTTTAGAAAAAAGAAAAGATTATTATTAAGTATGCGAAAAAGCAACACAGAAAAATATTAATGAAAACAAAATCAGACACTATATTTTCTACAACACCGTTTACCAATTACCATTCCAGTTACAATACGGGTTGAAAGTTGTTATTATCACTTCCTTTTATTTACTTCAAACTTCCATTCCTTTTGATTTACAAACGTTTATAGGGGTGTATATAAAGAGATAAATATTTTCATTTGACATACGTTGAAAAAGAAAACAACTGTTTGAATAATCGTTAAATTTTTTACATTCCAGTTTTGTAATAACCATGGATAAAGTTCAAGTCCCCGTCTTTTACATATCGATGTCTGACCGTCTGTCTGTTGTTATGGATACAATAGGAGTGAGTGACTACCTCGTGTCGACCAGGCGGGACGCATACCTTAAACGAGAAACAATGAGGTCAATATTTTACCAGCTTAGTGGATTAAACATTAGGACATATCACTTTGGCAGTCAAACTGAAGGGACGACAACGATTGGGATGGACTCGGATTTAGACACTTTAGATTGCCAGCAAAGTTTTAACATGATTACTGATCATAACCTGAAGGATATGGAGAAAGAGAACATGTTTTTGATTCAAAATGATTTAACGCCCCCTGGTCATTGTCGCTTACACCAGATTGACTTTCGCACAGAATCGGACACGTACCCGCATGATGAATGCATTTTTGATGAAGAGAATAGATTGATCCTTGAAAATAAGTTCTCACTGAATGTTGAAAAATCCGCTTTTGAATATCTAGGATTTTCAGAATATAAAAAACACGGTCCATCAGGGAGTCCGTTTCCGGATAAAGATATCGTAAACGGATTTCCATGCAAAACATGGCCCATTAAATCTTCTCTCTGGTTGGACCGTCCTCGAGCTGACCACTGGTTGTCACGTAAAGCAGTATCGGATGTCTTAAGCAGCGAGTGTTTCATCGTTTCTGTCGGCCATCCTATAAGCGAAAACGAGCATGTGGAATGGCGAATATCGTTTTCGAAATCGGAACGGGTGTTGTTGTTTAACATGAACAATATACAAATTAAATGCTATGTTCTGCTTAAACTCATAAAAAATGAAATACTTAAACCGATTGCTGGAGACAAGTTTACAAGTTTTCATTGCAAGATTGCAGTTTTGTTTACAATAGAGAGATTACCAAACGGATTTTGGGTACGGGAGAATCTTCTATCGTGTCTGTATATGTGCTTAAAGACGCTTCAAATGTTTCTTATATCAGGCCACTGTCCTCATATTTTCAATCCGGCTGTTAACTTATTTGCAGGAAAGATAACTCTGAGTGTGCGATTGAATTTGTTACAATGTATCACTAGCCTTATCAATGATCATGCAAAATATTTATTATCTATGAAAAGTGATTCTCTTGGAACGCTTCTTACAGTATTAACAAATACACTCAACTTTCCACTGTTGCTTAGCACGTGTATTTCGAATGTTTCCATGGAAACAGAGAAATGCATCATTGGAAAACTTATTTATGACAAACATGTTTCACTTTATGGGGATATTTTTTCTATTCTGTCTTACACAATCAAACTGGAGCACTCCGTGCAGGATTGTATTCGTACTCTAAGCAACCATGTGAAAAAAGCAAACGACTACTTTGTGCACGGAATTCCCGACGAGAAGGTATCAGCTAAACTGATCATGGCCTATCTAAGTCCGTTTATTGCTTCGCTCTTGGTTGCAAGTAGTGGAAGAAAGACCCCACGGGGTGTTTATTCATTTGTGAACTTTCTTTTAACGCTTATGGATAAAGTATTCTGCATCGACGTAGCATCCAGCAATCTTAAACTTGCCACGTTGTATTACGTTAAAGGTGACATCAAAAAGACACGGACTATTTTAAATACGATTGAAAAGAGATTTGGAAACTATGTTGTGCCGGTTTGTGGCAATTGTGACTGTATGGAACATCCAGGCAAGAAGTTTGTGAATGTCGTGTATAACTCCACAGACGATAACACGGTGTACACGTGCATTTCAAACTGTGTAACATTTTTACGTCAGGAGTATAAATGCTGCCCGTTCGCGCTCCGATACGAAATGTTTCGATCAACTACAGAAGACGCTAAGCGGAAAAAAGTGGGAATGAATGAATGGATGGACATGGCCGAAATAGACGCACAACCTTATCTTTACTTCATGCAGTTTTTAGTATATAAACGCTTGGGTGATGAAGATCGGCAGTACAATGCCATATTCAAACTTGCGTCTCTTTTACAACAAAATTCTCCTTTGTATCATAAAGAAACAGCTTTCAACCTTTTAGGTCAGTGTTGGGAATTTAAGGACAACCTAAACTTGGCGTTGATATGTTATGACGCATCTTTACGTCTTGTTGACGTTAACAATGCAGCGAAATGGCACCTTTCGAAATTGGTATACCGTGCACTATGCAAGTCCGGAAGGATTAAAGTTTCTCAACCGGATACGACCGAGGGGAGATGTTGTTACTTGTTGTGAGGTACCAGTGAGATATTTATCTCGGGCATTAAAGCAACATGCCTCCAGATTCGGCTCATTACATGAAAATTTTGAAAGCATTTTTAAAAGTAAAAAACATTGTGAAATAAACAAAGATAGTAATTTACGCATTGCAAACGGCACTTACAAGCTACGTTATTTAAAAAGAGGTCAAAACATGTAAAGTTAACCCTAACTTCGCTAGTCACGCAGTAAAAATGTGGTGATAAATACTGCGAAATCAGTCATATATCACTAACACCATGTAAATAATACTTAAATCTTGAAGCTTTGTACTTTTCTTAAAGTTTTAGCACATTTTTCTCTGCGTTTTTTTTTTGCTCATCTGGAGGTATACAGCTTTAATAGAGAGGTTATACTTTTTCCGATTTCGTTGAGTGTGTTTTACAGTTTATTCATTAAATGTACGGTGTTGCTTAGATTATTTTATTTAACTTCACATTTTAATGACCTTCCACGAAAAGCCTGCCTCTAGGGGTGTGCAATTTATCGTGATATACTTGATACCGCAATATTTTATCTAGCAATATAATGTATCGCAATATCTTGTCAGATATCGCAATATATCGAAGCTAAGAAGTTTTGATGAAGAAAAAAAAACCTTGTACGAGTATACTGAGTATAGCTTGATTTCAAATGGCATTTGCATAAAGTTGTTGAAACGTCTTCAGTTACATGTACCTAGCGATTACCGGTCCTTTATCAAACCTAAAATGGATTAACAAAATATATTTCGATCAAAAATATGTGCTTTTCCGTTAATAAACAAACAAACAAACAAACAACCAAATTAACAGAAAAACTGGAAGAGGTGATCTAGCGTAAATACATTCTGCATGATTTAGTTTGTCTCTGTTCCCCTGTATATAGTTGATAGATAGATTTTAACAGGATCATTATTGGTGATTTATATAGGAATGGTCCCCTGTGTTCCTATTAAAGCACTTACTCTTACGCAAAGAAGTCTTGAAACAATGGCTAAATCAGTGATCCCTCTCAAATTCCTTGTTCCTATGGGCTAATGCTTATTTGAAGTATGCGAGAGCCTCGTTCTTGAATCTGATTTTACCCAGTTCCGGTGTCCGAACTGTTCCGTATATAACAGAACTGTATTCAATACCACTCGTACCACACAATATTAAAGCAAGCAAACATCAAGAGTAAGCCTTTAGATGAAACAAAAATATTTTTTAAAATGAGACTCGACCATGATAAGCCTTTAACTGTTTCAACAGTTTCAGTTGAAATATCACTTAATAAACTTATATAATAGGACAATAAAATTGTCTATTGTCTGTTTTCACCCAAATAAAATGTAACGTTAAATTGTTATTGTTATTTCAACATTCATCATTTATTTCTCCTTAAGTAAATACATAGCACACGTATCCAGCTTTAAATATTTTCCGGCGAGTGAGGCTAAAAAAATGTTGGCGTCACACTAAATATAGCATATTCCGGTGTAAACCGGACCAGGTGCTTGAACATGTATGCGTCTCTTTAAACCGATTTAATACATAACAGCTATAATTTCCCTACTTTCGATCACTGCTCTAACTCTGGAGTGAGTTAAATCCTTTTCCGGCAGTCATGATTACATTTAGCACTATTACACACTACTGTAATATATATAAAGCTTTGTTAAGTTTTTGTTATTTAAATTGATGAACATTTGATATTCCTCTCAACATGACAGGAGAAAGGGAGAGAAAGTAATACTGTTAAATGCATAATAATTCAAACACAGTTGTCTTCCTTTTGATAACAGTGCAAAAAAAAATCGATTTCATGGACAAGAAAAAATGTATTGAAACGCAACAAAACTTCTAGAATATCTAAGGGGCTTCTATAAACACAGTAATAGACATATAACTACTTATGTATTTTTTAACTTTTAAATCATTAACTTAATTAAAGCTACAGTCTCACTTACATCCCGGCATAGCCCCGGTAGACGTCCGGGGTACATCCGTAACTCTGCCGGCAACGTCCTGGATGATCCGGGATGATCCGGGAACATCCGGCATTCGACCCCAGATGGAATAAAATATTTAATATCACCGGGGTGGTCCGGGATGATCCGGGAAGGTATAGCATTGCCGGCTTCATCCTTAGCTCTGCCGGGAACGACCGGGGTTATACCGGGAAAGCACCGTAGCTCTGCCGGCACAAACCGGGGATGATCCGGGGTATGATATAGCCGGTAGAGCTACGGTAGAGCTACGGTAGAGCCCCGGTATATGCCGGCAGAGCCCCGGTAACTACAGGCAGAGCCCCGGAGGATAAAGGTAGAGCTACGGTTGATCCCGGTAGAGCCCCGGCAAAGCCCGGATCATTTCAAAAGAAAAACGAGAATTTGCGATGATTGCACTTGTTTGTAATAAAAGCCTTCCCATTTCCGTTCTATCCAGTATGGCATAAGGATTTTTCAGAAAATCATCATGTATTACTATTCTGAACAATAGATATTATATTAAATAAAAAATATGTATCAATGTTATCATTTTCGGGCGTTTTCAATCCACCGGGGTTCTACCGGGGCTCTGGCCTGGATCGTCCTGGGCTCTGCCGGGGCTCTGCCGGGGCTCTGCCTGGATCGACCGGGGCTCTGCCTTGGTCAACCGGGGTTCTTCCGGCGTCATCCGGGAACGACCGGGGAAGCACCGGCATGATCCGTAGCTTCACCTGGGCTCTGCCTGGATGATCCGGAGCGCATCCTGGGTGGTTAGTAGGGAACTACTGTAGTGCTGCCGGGGTAAGTGTGACCGCAACAATAATTTCATCCCGGATCGTCCCGGATCATCCCGGTAACTTACCGGGATGGTCCTGGGCTCTGCCGGGAGTAAGTGAGACCGAGGCTTAAGGTGGCCTTTTTCACGATATGATAGATACACCTAATCAAAAAATCCTAGCATTAATATTGATACAATTGTACATGTATACGGAGAGTGACGGAAAAGGCCGATTGTTGTACATAATGAATATCATATGATATCAGGTTCATTAACACGTACACGGATACATATATAAAACATAACTATGTTGGTACATGTATTTAAATAAAAAGAAAAATATATATTTATCTTTTCTTAGATGCTATGTATATAATAGTTTTTGTATAGGTTTTTATAAAATGCTAAATTTCAATTTTGATGTCCAATCAAATGTTGAATGTGTGTTTATATTATCAACTCATGCTCGACAGGGACTTTGGAATCTGTCATGCCCTAGCTAGTTTACGGAACGTCGATGAGTCTACTCAGGTGCCAGTTCGTGTCCGAAATAATACACGGAAGGGCATCTGAGATCTTCCTTCACCATTAAAGCCGGAACGTCGCCGTATGATCTATACTGTGTCGGTGTGACGTAAAACCAAAACAAACAAACAACCAACCAACACATGTCATTACAACTATAATTTTTCATATTTTCTTACATTTTTTTTCTTTTCTTTTCATCTTCTGTTTTCAAGGTTGATCTCCTGTATTTCTTTGTTGGATGTTTAATTATGTAATCAACTTATTATTATTTAAGGTAATTATTTAATAGCTTATTGATGTATTGTATTACATGAATTTAAAATTGTTTGTACATTGCTGAGACTCATATTTTGCCTCATTAAATAAAGTCGTTACTTACTTACTTACCTTACCTAGCCATGCTTTGCCTTGCCTTGCTTTGCCCTGCCCTGTCCTGTCCTGTCCTGTCCTCTGTCCTGTCCTGTCCTGTCCTGTCCTGCCCTGCCCTGCCCTACCCTACCCTGCTATACTTTACTTTACTTTACTTTACTTTAATTTTCTTTACTTTACTTTAATTTTCTTTACTTTAGTTAACTTAACTTAACTTAACTTAACTTAACTTAACTTAACTTTACTTTACTTTACTTTATTTTACCTTACTTTACTTACTTAAACATCACTTTTAGATTTCACCTTTACTTTAAGCCTACCCCTAAATGCTGTTCATTTATTTCATTTAGAAAGACAGAAATAAATGAGACATTGGAACTTTATTAAATTCACCAAAACAAATGGAATTTCTCAATCACACAATGTCATCATATTGAAATACGATATATCTGTATATGTTTCGACATTGCGTTAAAGTCTATCCATAATCAAGGTCTTCTTACAGGCCATGTTGTTTGTTGCCTGTTTTATGTAAACATGGATTATTCATATCACAAAACACCGTTTTTACAGCTTATGAAAGAAAATAAGGGAGCGGCGGTTTATTTAGATGTAAGTACGGTAACCCAAGTTATCGCGTGATCATTTATCTGCCATTTATTTTCTTATTCGTTTCGCTTAAACGAAAATAAATCATTTATCACAGTCCTAATAAGAGTTATAAGACCTTGAGTCTAGGACAGAATAAATAACAACAGTGAAACAGGATGCCAAGCCTTTGCATTGTTTCAATATCATTTTATACACAGCAATACAAAATATAACACTTTATGTCCTCTGAACTAGCTGACAGCCTGTATCTTGATTATCTACGGATAACAGTTTAAAACGTGCTTATTTTATATATTATAACATTTGGCTTATTGTGTTTTAACTAAATAAAATAATGGCCATTTTAAGTTAGACCATATTGTCTTAGACTCATAACGTTTAAAGGGATGTGTGGGTGTTCAATACGACCTATACAGTAAAATGCGAAGTCCTCGAGTGACGTATTCATCCGCCTGTCAATTACATATACACTTCAAGTTCAGTGAGCACGAAATAATCGTGCTAAACTATGACACAACTAATTTTACATCTATAACCATCAATTAAGCAATTAATCAATCAATCAAATCGATCAGTCGATAAATCAATCAATCAATCAATCAATTAATCAATTAGATGATCAATCCGTCAGTCAGTCAGTCAATCAATCATTAAATTTGAAAGATCGATAAAGACCGGTCAATTGAAAAATTAATCAGTCAATCAATCAATCAATCAATCAGTCAGTCAGTCAAACAAACATTAAATCAATCTACCAATCATTCAATCGAACAATTAAACAATCAATCAATAAATAAATCAGTCAAAATCGAAATCGAAAAATCAATAATTATATCAAGCAATCAGTCAATCAATTAATCAAACGCTAAATCGAACAATAAGTCAATCGAAATAGAATCTGATCAAATCAAAATATCAGCAATCAATCAATTTTAAACATATACCTTAAATATACAACATCCAGTAAAAGTTTACTAATACAATAGACATGTCACGTAGATCTTTATATGCTAATCCTTGATAAAAAGTTATTAATGCATTATTTATAGATCTATTTGGTGCGGAGTTGTGTTATTTTGATATACGTAAAAAATAGTTACAAAAGATATCAAATTAGAACTTTAATCGTTATTTCGTAATATCATACAATGCATGGCCTTATAAAGGTGAATAGCACTCACTTCATTCACACAAATTAAAGAGTTGTCTTATCGGACACTATAAAAATCATATTGATAATTAATTAAAGGATATCCATTTAAACTACACTTATATAGATAAGTTATCATAATGGATAATTGGACTATTATAATTGTGCTAATCCTAGCAAGACAGACATTTATTCAAGCAGGTAAGAGTTAGATTTACTCGAAAAATATCTTTTTTACATTGAAGTCGATCGGAAATTAAGCTACTTAGACTTGTTATTGCACACGTAATCGCCGATCAGCATTATTATGTATGACATTCTCTATTATGAAAAAGTTTTCGCCTGACATATAATGACAGGATAGTTTGTGGATAATTAGTTCAGTATTAGGCAAATAGCTTTGAAGCTGAAGTCACCGGGGTTCGAACCTGAACAAGAAACACCGCTACTTTGTGTAAATAGTATTCCGCATTCTTTCGGTTCACGCGGGTGTACTTAAGATGGGAGTATAGATAAAAAAAAAACGATGAATTTATTTCAATTGTACATTGTCCATGGGTAAGGCCGTTTAAAGTGAAATATACATGAATTTTTCCGGCAAAAAAAAAATGGCATAAAACATTGAACTAACTTATTTTGAAGTTCTATGACATATGCGTATGTGCATTTAATCGATATCAATTCGTAGTTTAAACGGGTATTTACCGATTACGACGTTTCTTATCTTATCTGGTTGGAAAACCAGATTTTCTATTTTTATCATTTTGGAAAACCAGCTAAAATAGAAAAAAATAGTTATTACTGAAGATAATGATCCCATTTAAGTATAGGTTAGTGTTTAATAATACGTATTAACAAACTAATTGGTCAAGCCTGTCGCAGGCAGGCGACCAATTATTTTTGTTAATGCGTATTATTAAACATTAACCTATTTATTGATCAACATTATTTTTTTTTCAACCAAAAACAAGGCATTTCTCTTAATCACCGATAGCTCCGCCCTTTCGCTCTACAAGATGTCTACACCTTGTCAAGTTTCTAACATGTCAGATTTAGATAAGCTAAATAAATGGCCCTTTCAACATATAATCGGGGCACATTTTTACTGAAATGTCACAGAATTTATACTTTTATCTACAGTAAGACTATCATTCTGGAAAAAAACAACGATGAAAATGATGGAGTTAATGAAATGTATACATCCTTTTATAATAAATGGAAAATGTGAGAAAAATACATTAGAGATTATTAATTGATAAAAAATCGTTATTAGCTTCAAGTTATTCACTAACATTTAAAATCCCTTATGATTTGCTCATTTGAAAAACAGTTCATTGTTTTTATTTTTCTGTGTGTCAATTTAGGTTTACAGGTGGAGGGGGTCCATTTTCCTGCCAAAAATGTAATCATTGTATTCTTAATATCAAGGGTTGTTAATGCAGTTCATTACTATCAAGTGAAAGAAAATAATGTTTTGGTTACTTTTTCTAGAAAATATAAAGTTTAAAACAGTCAGCAATTTATAACAGACATTTTTCTTTAGTTAAAAGGATATAAAAAAGTTACTATGTATTCATTTGTCTCTGCGTGCCCCACATGTATTATCTATCTTATAAATTAATTGATTGTATCCTCACATTTAGAACACCTGACCTCGCCTAATTTTTTTTACGTTGGCATTGTTTTACTTACCTAGATATTTTACAATTTAGAGTGCAAACCACACCTAACTCTTCCCTAATATAATGCATTATTGAAATTTGTTAGACTGGTTAGACGACAGATTAAGTAAATTTTATTAAGTAAGTACATATTAACCAAAGTTAGACTTAGCAGAAATTTGAAAAAATATATACTTCAATGTGATTGGACAAAAAATAATGTTGATCATTAAAATATAAGAGCAAACAGAAGTTGTGAAATATTTTCTTATTTAATGCTTAAATGATACAATAATAATGGTAATAAAAACAGCCTTGTCTGGTGAATTAAAAATGCATGGTTTATTCAATCAATTTATTTTATTATTTCTGTCAGATTCAAACCACACTTTCACTGACGATTATCCCGGAACAGAAGGCCACGGAGCGATAATGAAAGACGATTCAAACTCTAAAGAAATCATTGCGGCGGCTGTAATTGGTATCATTTGCTTTGTCTTGTTGGCAATGTTACTATTATATTACAAATTCGGTGACAGAAACATTACATGTTACACTAAGGACGACCACGCTGCCAAAGCTGATCAAGATTTTGAACTAAAAGAAATTTTCGTAAGTCAGACAATTAAGCTATTATAAATTGATTTATGAAACATCAAACTCCTCACAGTGATAACCTCCCTTGGCAGATTTTACTTTCAAGACGTCACTTGATGATGAAAGTCACTTGGCGTAACATCAAAATACAAATGTGTAAATATTGACAGCTACATAGAAAATCTAACTTTTCGTACCTACTTTCGTTATAGTTTATCAAAAAAAAAAATTATCAAAGGTATACAAAACTATGAAAAATAAATTCAAAAGCTAAAAGAAATGAAAAAATAAATTGTTAAAAATGTGTGCTCTGTATCGATAAGGGGAGATAACTGCGTAGGAGATTTATGAAACAAAACACATAATATTCTAAAATTGTTCTCAGTTGGTTTATACTGTGACCAATCTGATGAAAGAACAAACTATTAAAAAGCGGCTTATAAATATATATTGTGCCGTGTTTGGTTTTCATTAGGGATTCTGATTTTTTTTTCTATTTTATATATTTCGGAAGCCAAGTTGCCCCGTTATTTTTTGTTTTTTCTTAATGGTAAAACAAAGCTCAATAAGTAGCATGCCAATAGATGGTAACAGTAATAAGCTGAACTCAAGTATCCGCAAGAAATGTATGAAATAAAATTTCTTCTTTATTATGTGCAACATTTTTCATCTGGCGATTTCTTTGGCAATAACTATAGATTATATCCTTAGATAAATTTAGAAATAATGACGTTGACATTTTATAATTTTAGGCACATTTGTATTGAAATGTGTAATCATCAACATTTTGATGTTGTCCTCTTTTATAGATCACAGACCCAGTTGAAGGTGGGAGCGACAATGTTTAGATCCAAAATTGATGGGAATACGTAAACACGAGAGGGCGGTGCAGGGCTGCGGGGTTTAAGCCTTTCCTTGATGGTAAACAGTTGAACAAAGTACAAAACGAAATACATCGAAAATGTACATATATACCATCATAAAGTGTTTAAAACAACATCGAATTATCACACCATTACTTATTGTGTGCAATAAAGTAACAAATCTGGCAACTAAATGAGGTCATTTTAAGTCTGTGCTTATGTCAGTTGAAAATGAGTCGGCTTACTTTTGACATTTTTCCACAGTGATTGCTCCCCGTTTTTTATTGACAGTAAGATATTAAATGCCTCAAAAATGACCTAAGTTATATCGGTATATGGACAAAGCTACACGCACTACATGAAGTTGTCGTTCGTTCAGCTCAACCCCCTCAAATCACCAGTTAGAACGGTTTACATGTTTTTAGCGAAAGAAGCAATTGACTAACACAAGATAAAGATATGTTAAGACATTATCAATTTATTATTTTACAAGTTAAATTTATTGAACATGTTAGTTCTTACAAAGGCTACTGTATAACGTGTAAAATATGTGACCGGGGTTTATTAAAACGTCTTTAAATTGAGTGATAGGGGAATATTTTTGTTTGTTAATACGAATTAAATTGTCATAGGAACGTAATAAAATAATCAAGTATAAACGTGTTTTTATTTTCCCAATTCTTTCCTTCCCTACCAGATAAACATTTCACCGAATACATGTCTCGTTTACGGACTGATTAATTTTTGCTGTGTATAAAATTTGTTTTCATTTAAGACATAAAGTCTGAAGCGAAAAATCAATTTGCCGTGTTTAAATTGGTTTGTATAGAGCTTTACGCTTAATAGAACAAATCGGAACAACCTCCAAATGATCTAGAACATCGTTATTCATATAAGGAATTCCACCACCGATGTAATGTTATAAAAAATTGCTCATGGTGCATGTTTACGTAACCTAATATCTCTTAAATAAATTATGACTGTCCCTCCCCTTATTATCTTTCAATTTGTAAATGTTTACAATTTGAAAAATTTACACTCCCAATAATTTGAATAGGAAATGTAATACGTGAAAGAAAATCTGAACGCAACAAAAAGTTAAAATATTCATTAAAGTTTAAGTTTCAATAAAAACTTATGGATATGTAAGTTATTGATGGAGATTCAACGACTAAAGTAATGGTTACAAAGTTTTTGATAAGGTTTGCCAAAACGAAATACGCCGCACTTGGATATGAACCCAATTAATGATTCTCGTTTATAAATGTCGTACATTGCTTCCTTTTCCCAAGACATAATAGATAGATGAAAAAGCATCAGATTGAAAACGCAAATTGCATGTATAACAATTATATACAATAAATACATTTAAAGACACAAGGAGTGTATTATCAATGGTAAAATATGGTTGGGGCAGTGCTGTTCGGACATTGTTCTGGCTGCCAAAACTTTAAAATGTATTACGATAAGCCTCGGACATTTGATTAAGTATATCCCGATATGTTACTTTTAAATAAGCAAAGGAGGCTCAACAATAAAGCCTTAAATTTGAGTATAAACATAGCTGATGAGGCATTTAAGGCATCAGACCCATTAATAAATCTTACCAAAATAAAGAAGCACTTGTGACATAAAATTAAAGTTTACGCTTCCCCTTTAATTTCGATTTTCAAATTTGCGGAGATCTAAACAGGCATTCATAAAGTTCTCAACCCTTGGAGGAATGCTGTGCACGGCTGACCATTTCTTCACAGCCATTTTACGCATGCGTAAATCCACAGAAATACTATATTCATGCTGTAAACACTTACTATTTACGATATCTATAAATAGCGTCAACGATACGAAAACATTAATGAAATACGATATATATAGATATACAGTCAGTGTCGTACATAGTCTTGTTTATATATATAAATATGCTGGATTCGGGTAGAACAGTCTAGAAGGCCATATCGATATCACGTGATTTGTAAGTATTTTATAAAACATGCGCACACCAGCGACTTGGTATAGCTTGACAAGATGTCTACACTAAAGGCTGCTAGTCTCATTCTTTTCTATTGCCAGTTTCTGCGACCAGTTATAGGCCAGAGCACTCTGTCTGGTAAGAAAACAGATTTATCTTTAAACTTTAAAAGCAAAAACATTGTTCTGGACTTTTACTCACATTTTGTTAATAATCAATGTAGTTCTATTGTAAAATTGTATTGGTTCAATGCTTAAATGTTATCAATAATGAATTCATTGACAGAGAACAGGGTTAAAGTATCCATTCTGTTGAGTTCTACAGTTATGTCTTTAAAAATGGAATTAAATCAAACAAAATTACACAAAAAAGTATGACAACAGCATAATCATCACAGTGACTGCGGATTAAATTATTGTGTTTTTTTAAACAAAAACTAGCGAGGAAAAGGGATTCGAACATTGTAAATTTAAGTCTGAAAGTTTGTGAGGTAATGTACTATTTCAAACCCAATGCCATTAATTTCATATTCATATTCATTATAATCATAATATAAATAATAATATCAATGTTTTATTCTTAACATATTCATAATCAGATAAGATTGCTAACTGGTTTTTGTAATTGAGTATAACAAATACATTGTAATAAATCATATTATTCTCTAATCTCTAGTTTAACGAGATTTTTAACACTTCGAAGACAATTTATCTTCTTTGATTCATCTTTATCAATAAATTCAACATTAAATATGGTAGACAAATTTTGTATTATAAAGTTTTGCCATTGAAAACCTATTTATAAAAAGGTATTTATGGTGGCTGATTTGTGCCATTCGTGTTTTCGCCCCGCGAATCAGCCACCATAGGTATTAGATATCAAATTACCTATTTTCAAAGGACCTCGTGTACTTGTATTTTATTTTTAGACTTATTCAAGAAAGACAGAATTTACCGATATAAATATTGACAATACATGTAGTTTAACCTTCAAGAGAATATCAAGTGAAATTAATTTTATCTAACGATAAAACAAACGCTTAAATAGTTTAAACTCAATTGACTCGAATGACAACGCTAATCTATTTTCAATGAATGTAAGAAGTAAATTTATAAATTTAAAATACACGTTGGAACAAGCTACTTTATTATATTTTAAAGTGCTCTGTATGAGAACCGAAGGATAGTTGAATAAAAACAAACAAAAAAAAACTACAAAAAACGACGTGTCTGTTATGAAAACACTCGATCTGGTAATGTCACCTTAACTGGTTGGTTTTGGAAAACCAGGTAAAATTACAAAAATAGACATAGGTTTTTAAATAGTTACAATAAAGGCGATTTAAAATTTCAATAATGAAGATAATGAACCTAATTATGAATATAATACATGTAGCATATTGAAGTGGTGAAATGTTTTTTATTCAATGCTAACCTGACACAATAATAAATGTTCGATAATGAATTCAAAAAAACAACTTGTCTGGTGTGTGGAAATGCACTGTTTTTCAATCTATTCTTGTGTTTTGTTTTTCGTTTAGATTCGAACCATACTGTCACTGAAGATTATTCCGGATCAGAAGACCACGGAGCAACAACGAAAGAATACTCCTACACGAAAGAAATCATTGCGGCTGCTGTTATTGGTACCATTTGCTTTGTCATGTTGGCAATGTTACTCTTATATTTCAAACCCGGGAGGAAAGACAGTGCATGTTACACTAAGGACGACCCCGCTGACAAAGACGATCAAGATGTTGAATTAAAAGAAATTTTCGTAAGTTAAACAATTGAGCTATTTGAATTTATAAAGCATAACACGCATATTTTTATCCATATCATATATACAACCAGTTCCAAAATCGTACTCACTGGTTAAAACTGTGACTCATCCAATGAAAGAGCAAACTATTAAAAAGGCGGCTTAATAAAAATATATTTTACCGTGTCGGCTTTCTTTAGGGATTCTGATTTTCTCTACTTTATTTGATTTTGGAAGCCAGAACTACATTTTGCATGGTCGCCCCGCTTTTTTCATGGTAAAAAAACATTATAAGAAGCCTGTAGATGGTAACTATACTAAGTTGAAGTCGAGCATCCGCGGGAAATGTATGAAATAACCTTTTTTTTTAATATGTGCAACGATTTTCATCTACCGATTATGTCATTAGATAAATTTAGAAATAATGACATTGACCTTTACAATCTTAGGTAATGAAATGTGTAATCATTAACATCACATTTTTGTCCTCTTTTATAGATAACAGATCAAGTTAAAGGTGGAAGCGACACAGTTTAGATGGAAAAGTGATGGCCATACGTAACAAGAGTGGACGGTGCAGGGATTCGGGGTTTTGGCAATCGAAATTCAACCTTTACCTGACGGTGAAAAGTTGAATACAGTACAATACGAAATACATAGTACATATATATCATATATCATAGAATGTTCAAAACAGCATCGAACTATCACACCTTTACTTATTGTATGTAATAAAAGTACAATTCTGACAACGAAATGGTGATATTTAAAGGCTGTGCTTACAAGCTGACAGTTGAAAATGGGTCTGCTTATTTTTGACCTATTTTTTCACAGTGATTGCCTCCCGTTTATTATGGACGGTAAGATATTAAGTGCCTCAAAATGACCATAGCAATATCGATATATGGACTAAGCGACACGCACTTCCTCTGTAACACGAAGTCGTCTTTCGTCCAGACACCACCCCTTCACCACAAAGCACCAGCTGAAGAGGAACCTAACAGTTAAAAGGGTTCACATGTGTTTGCCAAAGTAAAATACTTGATTAAAGACATCATCAATTTATCATTTTACGAGTTTCTAGTTTATTGAAATTGTCAATATTTACAAAGGCTGTAACGTGTAAAATATGACTGGAGTTTATTAAAATGTCTTAGAATTGAGTGAGAGGAGATTTGTTTTGTTTGTATATACAATCTATATGAAGATATTGTAGAGCCCTACAAGTTAATGTTATGCATACTTACCTTGAGACTGACACTCTGGCATATAGGTACATTTCATAAAATCTTGACAAACATGTTTGGTGATATAACCAGCTATAAAACACAAAATGAGGCATATTTTGCTTAAGAATGACAAAACATACACTCATACAAGTAGCTTATAAACTAGTTTTGCCTGTACATGCTTGTGGAGATCCTTGTTGATCCTTGATTTCAGTTGTGTATCCGAATTTTCCGGACATGTATGTTTATTTCCTTGCGTAAATCCTTTAACATTGTGCCGAAGTGTTTTCGCAACAGTGAAATGAACTTAGCACTATGTAACTTGGTTTAAATCCACGTACTTAACTCGAAATGTTAGAAATTGTTGTAAACACATTTCACTAAATTTGCATTGACGCCATGTTGTTTGCAATGCATTGTGGTATTTGTTTTTGGTAACTAAGTGCAGTTGAATCTATGTACTGTAGAAAATCGATAATTTAAACTAGTCTCTACTTCTGCCACCATTTTAGCGGCTGATCAGATTGGGGTGCATTTTGGTTGCGTTTGCAGATTTAGTATATTGCTGCATTTCGGGGAGTCATAAGTCAGAAATTGTAACGTAAAGCTACGCTCGGTTAGCCTTAATAAAATTAAGTTTACACTAAAAGTAAGCGGGCTATTTTATCTAGATAGACATTTTTTATGTACTTCAGAGTTTTGATAAGCTGTTTAATTTATAAACAAATATTTATACATATTTGTATACATTGCTTGCAATGTATACAGAGTTATAAGCTATATCTCAGAAAAGATACAGGTTTAATGCATTACCGAACAACATCCACTCCCGGATAAAAACCGCTATAGAAACTAGTTCTTCATTCTGCAGTAGCGTTACATTCCGACTACACATCATTATAATAGTGTTTTGCAAAGTTGTTTAAATGCTTTGAAATTTCCAAATCGTTCATTTTCATGAAATAATAGACTCTACATTCCTTTAAAGAAAACAAAAAATAACAGTTCATTGATAAAATCGTAGTTTATACCTACGCGTTAAACTTCGCATATACGCATGCGCTTGCTAGCATGAATGAATACATCGTTAATATAGTAAAGTCGTCAGCGCTTATGCTAAAACAATACAAAATAAGCTTTTTTTAAACCGCTAGTGTGTTGTGATTAAATGTCCGATTTTAAAATGTATTACACCAATAGAAAGCTTTGGATCTTAGCTTCATCACAATATAAACTTCAATACATCTTTTGACTCCAAAGTATTTAAATTAACTGTTAAACCTACCATATGTGAGACCATTTTACATGCGATTTATACAGTGAGATACGCAATGATAAGAATAGCCTGTCGTCTGCTAGTTCTAAAAGTGTATATCGGTGTATTATATAAATGGGACGAAACATCTCAGATAGATATTAAATCAAATAAAATTCCCGATTTACATTTATGCAATAAAATTGCCCTAAAATGTTTTACAAAATAAGTATGGAGCACCGTCACAAAATTTACCAGCGTATACCGGAAAATGTTTTTAAAAAAAAAAACAACAAAAAAACTGGCAATTATCGTGACTTCAAAAAATAAAAATTACGTAAGCTATTCTTTTGAATACCTTTTTTACACATGATTTTCCTTTCACTTTTGTATGCCTTAGATTTTTGAAAAGAAATATGTTTCGAAATTCAGCGAAGATTGCCTGATTCAGTACGGGTAAAAATAAAGATTCGGCCGCTCGACCGTTCGACCCATTACAATTCGTCGAACTTGGGATATTGACGTATGGAGCTAAATTTAGGCATATGTGGCAAGATTCGACGAGAAGAAATAATCATTTGAAACTGTAAATCAGTGTAAGCATTAAGAAATAAATACATTATGTTATTTTTATCTGCTTATATTAATTGCCGAAAAACACCAAAAAATACCGAAAAACACTTAAAATACAATGAAATATTAATTCAGCAATATAAACCATTTTTGATGGTTATTTGATAAAATTGGTTTTTGTCGGTTATTTGATGAAATGGATTCAATAATATCAGTTTTAAATCGATGATATATACAATTGGTATAATTCCAACAAAATAAGTTTTATCTACTTTTTTCTACCCTTTAAATGATTAAAATTTACTTTCTTTTTGCAACCAGTGTAAATTAGAGAATGATTCTATTCTGTATTAAATGCGATATGAAAGTGTTTTTCGGCAAAGTTACAGTCTAGCGTCAAAAAAACATGGAAAAGCCGGAAAACACATTTTTACGGGCATTAAAATAGTCGTAGTTAAAACAAGAGCCGCTATTTTTTTCCAACCTTTTAAATGAATAACTATTACTTTCTTTTGTTACCAATGTGAAATGTCAGTGATGTTTATATTTTTATAAATACAGCATGAAAGTGTTTTTCGGCTACGTATCGGTCTAGCGTCAAAAAAAATGGAAAAGCCCCCCCCCCCCCCCCCCCCCCAAAAAAAAAAACACACATTTTACTTGCGATGAAATGGGCATTTCAAAAATAGAACTATTAAATAAAATTTTAACCGTCTAAATGAATGATTATAACATTATAATTTATGTGTAAGAAATGTAAAATATCAGTAATATTTTTGTAATAAACATTGTATGAAATTGTTTATCGGCTATGATACTGCCTAGCGTCAAAAACATAGAAAAAATAAATAAACAAACAACACATTTTACTTGCAATAAAATACTAGATATATTTTTTAAAAAAATGCTGCTAAATATATTTTCAATCGTTTAAATGAATAACTATGACATAGAATTTATTACCTTTGTAAAATGTCAGTTATTTTTTGTAATAAGTACAGTATGAAAAAGTCAGTGGTGAAACTTATAGGTTGGCTAGCTCAGGGTGAGGTTAGCCTGGGTTCCAGTCTGTCGATTTTTTGTTATGTTTCTGTTTGGCAAAATCGACACTATCAAAACGACTAACAAATACGGAATATTAAGCGCATATGTTATGAACAAAAAAATGTTATGAGTAAGCAAAAGCTATCAACGCCTGAATCCCAGGCTAGGTGAGGTTTTAGATTGTTGAATGTCGGCCATCCATCTTATGTCAACTCTGGTCTGTCCACATTTAGCATCGTCGGATACCCACGGCCGAACCATTTACATTTATCAGTTAGGAATCAACCACGTGTATTCGATGCTGACATTACAGTTGTTAACAATCTGCTGGTCATTTAAGTTTGTTAACACTCTACTGGTCACCCTTTGTCCCAAATGTCAAACAACATCGTAAGAATGTGTGTGACAGGTGTTGCTCGAGTTTGAACATGGATCACCTTGGTTGAAAATCAGAAGTATGTCACAGTAGCCAAAAAATAGAAAAAAAAATGTTTTAGCTCAATGGTTCATCTAAAGTTGGTAACACAACCTGATTATGGAAAAACCCTTGTTAACTTGCTGTCCAATATAAATGGATTTCTTGGAAAGGTTGTTCATGAAGACTATATGTAACAATTATTGAATAATGAAAATATTACAGTACATTTGAATTGTTGTGATTATAGATTTCATTTTTATTAATTAACGATAAAGTAATGCATTTGAAAATTAATGTGTAGAGATTAATACAACACACCAGAATATATTTATTAATGCATCAAAGTACAGTACATAGATGTACTGTAATTTGGTAGTTAAGTCTTGTAGGATGATTCAATTAATTGACTTTGTATAGAGTTCAAATCAGATCATGTATTTTATCAGATAGCATCATTTGAAACTCAATATGACTGTTTCAATATTCTATACTGCAGTCCATTTAACGGGTGTTTCAAAAAATGATTTCTTTATTGCTCATCTATCAGCTTGTCCTAGCAATACACAGATGGAACATTACATCTTCCTTGACTCATAAATAACTTTTGAAGAAAAAAGCCTTGGTGCATGTGAATCACTTGTTAGGGACATTGATCTTGGTCAGAAGATGATCCCTATTGTTTTCGAGGTCAGTAGGTTAAAATCAACATGGCTTTGATGTCAAAAATGGATTATATTATCAAGCAATGTATACTTCAGTACTTTCAGTGCTTTGATTTATAATTGTCAGTGATAAACATTTCTGCTATTTTTGTCACTGTTCACTGGTGCGCCATTTTGTTCTCGCGCGTATTTTTAACTGTGGAAAGTCGTTAATGCCGTTATCAAAATTAGAAAGTTAACAATTAGGAAAGCGTTGTGAATTATTTAAGTTTTAAGAGAATTGTTAACACAAGTTTTAAGTGATATTTCTGATGCAAAGCAACTAGTTATATTAAATAATAAGTACAATTGGTAATATATAATAATCAAAGAGTGAATTTCTCCTGTGTGAATAGCCAGATTACATTATCAATTAAGTTTCTCTTGTGTGAATTGCATAATTACATTATTAATTAGTTTCTCTTGTGTGAATTATATGAGTACACTATCAATCTGTGAAGAACATAAGGAATTGATATTAATGCGTTAGATATATTTCATGTTTTACTATTGATCTATAATTGTTGAGCTAAGTGCTTTATTAAAAGTAATCAACTTTACAACGACTTTCTCCTTTGTGATGTTTTACTATAAATAATAGGTATAGTTTAATTTAACCTAATATATATTCAACGTAGCAGCAGCAGTAACACATGTCCAAATTTTGACATAATTTAATAAGTCTTATAATCAAGACTTAGTATTTATTCGACTAAGTTAGCAACTTCACGTGCCCAGATTGTGACATATAGCATAATGTGTTATAGCCAATTATACAGTGAAGACAGCAACGTCGCGTGCCTAGATCGTGAAATATGTTGTGATTATGTATTCTTATGTGTTTTTATTTTCTCAATTATTTCATCACGTACCAGATAATCTTCTAACCGTATACATGTCTTGATTATTGCCTGATTTTTGCAAAACTGTATTTATTTGAGACA